CACTAATTATATCACAGATAATGCTTCTTGATATATAGTAAGGTGAAAAACTGTATGAGAGATAAGGCATACAAAATCAATGCATGATGAATTTGCTACGTATTTAACAATTTAGTAGACATTAATCAGCATTCTAGATAAATTGATATTTGCATTCAATTTTGTTAATGGGTAAATAACTTAATTCCATATTATTAATAAGTAACTAACCAACTGAACCTAAACTCTAAGTGGTTAAAAAAACTCAGATCATTGTTACTTTTGGCTCACAAAAATAGATCACATCCCGCTGTGCTGGCCAAGCCTTCTCAAAACTAATTATTAAAACTTCATGTATAGCATTATATTCATAAATGTTTTTGTACAACCTACTAAACAATTGTATCTTTCTTGAGGGGACATATGTGCCTTGATACCTCTAGCCCAAATCCACATATGCACTTACCTAACAAACTGCTCAATACTAACAATAAAGATGTGAAAAAACTGACTCGGAAGGGACAAACAATCAAAACAGTACCTGCAGTTGTTTATTGCATTTAATTTATAATCAAATTACTTTTCTGAAATTACAAATTATAGATTTTATAAATTTAAAAATCTAAAACAAAGTAGCAACTTTAACCATTTCGAGTCTCAAGGTATTTTTCCAGAAACTCAAGGCAAGAAAAATGTTTGAATTTCCTAAAAATTCCAAGCATGAAAACCTGAATTACAAACAAGGCTTTTAATATTCAAGTAATGCATGTTTAACTTATAAAACAAAGCTAATGTGGTCAGAGCTATACAAAAATAATAGTTTTTTCCTGTAATTAAATGGCTAAATTGAATAATATATCACAAGTAGAAATAAGACATAAGAAATAAATAAAAAGAAAATTTATTACATTACGCTGTTTTATCCACTATCAATAAATTCTGTTTAAACGAGATTAAATAATTAGAATTTTGTGAATATTCTTACCCATTATTGATTAAGAATTACTATATAAACTTGGATGTGCATTCACAGGAATAAAAGTTATTTTTAATTTATCTAATTTAAAGTATATGCTCTCCACCTCAAATTAGTAGTGGCTTGCCCCTATACATCATACTTTTCCTTTAAGAATAGAGTGCTGCTGGTCATCTATCTATCTTTCAAAAGAAATTTTTTTAACTGAAATAACATGACTTCCAGTTTATATCAGATGTTCATATATAGTTAATCGAGGCCTCCTGCATCTAAGGTTTCCACATCTGGTCTCGTCTTTCATCTATCTAACTCTGTTCTTGAGATTAAGGAAAGATAGACAGTGGAAATTTATAGATCTATAATTTTTTCAAATTGCAACCCAATGAATAATAGTAAGAAGTACATGCATTTGAAATGTAAACTTTATGGCATCAAAAGTTGTGAACTAGTATAACTAGTTCACAACTTTTGATGCCTAATAACTACTAAGAACTAAATAACTAGTGAGAAAAAATATAAAAAGAACCAGATTCCAAACAATATTACTAATATATTGGAAGACAACTTAAAATATCTAGAAAGACTAGTAATTACCTAACAATTTATGAATAATTTTGCATGACTGAAGCATGGAATAGTAAACAGATAGATCTTGGGCTTTATGAAAAAAAAAATTGCTAAATACTGTACAGTAGTGCTGCTCACTATGATTTTATGGACATTGGATACATTCTGGCATCATTGATCTCAGCCACAACTATTGAATAGTTTAATAGGCTTTTGCTTCTGCTGTCTGGTTAGGTTGTCCGAAATGTCTGGCAACCTAACCAGACAGCAGAAGCAAATATTATATTGGCATTCGCAGACTTATTTTATTAAATTAACTGATACAGACAAGTAGTAAAAATGGTGTTAATAATATAACCATGGAGCCAACTACATTTCTTCATTGGAGCTTGCCACATCAACAGCCTGACAGGTGCAACAAGCATTGTCACCACAATGATAAACTTGTCGGTGAATACAGCAACATATTTTAGTAAATCACCAAGCTATTTGATGCATATTGGAATGTACCCTTTGTAATTAGTTGTCTAATCAGAATCAATATATCCCAAAATATATAAATTAAACAACATTACAACACTTTTGCTTAATGTAATCTAAAATTGAGCTGCAATTTGAAAAAACTGTAGACCTATAAATTTCTACCTTCATTCATCCATCTATCTTTTCTTAATCTTGCAAATGGAGTTAGATAGATAAAAGATGACTTGGAGGAAACCTTAGGGGCAAAAGGCTTCAAAATACAAACTTCTGATGCAAACTGGAGGTCATGTTATTTCAATTCAAAAATGTTTATATATATATATATATAAACATATTTGAGTTTTATATATATATATATATAT